GCCGCCGCCCGCGCCGCCTCACCCGGGCCTGCGGGGCCTCCCGCCCCAGCAGCCCCAGCAGCCGCCCCCCCAGCAGTATCCTTCCCGGTGCAGGCAGGCAGGCAGGCCGGCCGGCGCGCGCTCCCCCCCCGGGCCCCGCGAGGGAGGGGGTCCCCGGCGTGCTTGGGGGGGGGGTGGGGGTCGCTCTTTCTGTCTGTCTGTCTCCGGCCGCCGCCGGGGGGGGGGGCTGGATCTTGTTTCACAACAGGAAGCGGCGGGGAAGGGGCTCTTCGCACCTGCGGGGAAGGGAGGCGAGCCCGGGGCTGGCGGGGCAAGGCAAGGCAAGGGCGCCTTCCGGGAGGGGGAGGAGGAGGAGGCTGCTGCCCCCCGGCGCTTGGCGGGGCCTGCCTTGGAGCCGAGAGGCGCGGGGTCCGGCAGGTGAGCCGGGCTTGGTGGGTTGCGCCTCCCTCCGAGATGGCTCCCCAGGAGGCGCAGCAGGAGCCAGATGTGCTGGAAGGGAGGCCACCAGCCCCCCGGGGTGCATGTCTGTGGGTGAGGGGGGGGCTGTGCCTGCCAGAGAGGCTGGGGGAGCACCTTGCTCGGGCATCTCGTGGGGCAGGGTGGGTCAGGTTGCCTGTGGTTGCCTGGGAAAGCCTGTGAAGAGTGAACTGCTGCGCCTGCCTCTGGGGAGGCCAAAACGTGCTGCAGGCTGGGGAGCAGGGTATTCTCTGGATGGGGAGCAGGGGCTGGTTTTGCCTGGTCAGCAACAAGTGCTCGCCATTCGGGGCCACACTTTATTCTTGTGCAAAGTATCACAGTTGCAAGACAGTTACCTACAGCTCATTTTTCTTCCTTGCTTAGTGTGGTTTATTTGCTGCTGGTGGAGGTGGGCAAGTCATGTCCTCCCGTCCCCTGCCCCCCCCTCCCCATCACCCTGCCCTCCACATCACCCTGCCTGTTTTCTGGCCTGAGCTGGGCAAAGTGCCTGACATGCATGAGCTCATGTCTAATTGGCAAGTAGTACGCTGGCTACTCTCTGGTGTTTCTAGCTAAATCATAATATATGGTGATTTCTTTAAAAGGGCCATGTTGGATCCTTGAGTGCGGCTACCAGGAGTGAAATCCAGTCATGTTGGTTTTCTTTGTTTTGTTGGGGCTGCCTGCTTCTCTCATAGTGGAAGTCTATGGTGGTCTGTACCTCTCCAGCTCCACGAGGGATCTTCTGAATGGACTTCAGCTTTGTGGCTGTAATGAAATGCCTTTATTCCCACATTGTTAAATGTCTTCTGTTGCCTGTCTGTGAAGGTGGTCAACTTTCTGCTTCTCTAGTGAGCACTAGTAGCATCTCTTTAACTTCCTACATCAGCGTCAACTTCTTTGACTGGAAGGAAAAGAAAGTAGATCTCTTCACAGTGGTTCTCAGAAACCTCTGACATGATGAAGCATCGCATGTTTTTTTAAAAAGGACCAGCGAACTTTGAAGAGGGAGTACTATAATCTCAGGGCTTCCTATTTTGATTTTATAAGTGATGAAATACTTTAATTCTCAATTTTCTAGACCTGCTGGACGTCTGCTTAAATCTAGTGTGGCATTTAGTTTTGCTCCTTTAAAATCTAGCCGTGTGTCTTCAGCGCCGTGTGCTCTGGAAGAAGAAGGCCATGAGAAGTTTGGCTTGAAATGCAGCCGTCGGAATTCAGCTGCCTAATTTCCTTTATGTCGTCAGGATCCAGCCATTTCTTTCCCATAGAGGGGTAAGAAGTGACTTTACTTGTGTTTCTACCCCAGGTTTTGCACGTCCTGAGGCTTAGGATCTAGCTGTGCCTGAACGCTGAACAAGGAAGAGGTGGAGGACTCCGGAACCAAAGTGCAGGCAGGAGCTACTTTAGAAAAGGGGGTTGTCTGCACAGGCCATTAGAAAAATGAGGAAGGGAAAGAGGAAATTAAACTCGGAAATGCTGGCCAGTGAAGGCCTTCTTGTGTGGGTGGTAAGTAGGGTGATGCGAAAGGGGACATGTGAGCTTTGAAAAGGCCTAGGAAATGTGTCTTGTACATAGGGTGAGGTTTCCTCGCTGTAAGGCACGTGGTTGTCTTTCCTTGCAGGAAACGCTTGCTGCAGTGGTGTGGTTAGCCAGCCCTGATGAGCGTGGCTGAGGAATGGGCAGAGGCAGCAGGGTAAGGCGTTCAGGTATTTAATGTTAACTTATTTGGGATGCTCCTGGATAAAAAGATAACAGTGTGCTGCTGAGCCTGCATTTTACGTTGCCCAGGTTCTGGGGCTTCGGAGTATTTTGGGAAGAGTTTGGACTGTTGGCATACTGTGTGCCTGCTGGAAAAATGCATTTAATGTCATTGCTGTCCTGCTTTACCTCCAGGGGCTCAGAGTGAAGCATTTGGGATTCTCATGTTTTATTCTTGACAGACCCCCCACCCCCCCCCCCGGGTAGGTTAAGCTGGGAGTTGGTGGTTTCCCCATCTGGATCCAGAGCTGGTGTCTGAAATGCCCTGCTGGCTCCCAGAAACTTGATTCTGGCACCTGCAGACTTGAAGGAATGTTTCCAGTGGGCCCGGGCCACTGTGAGCACCCAACTCATTCCGGACTCTGTCCTGAATCTCACATGCTTCCTAATCAGTTTTTTCCTTCATCAGCAAGATTCCGGTAAGAATAATTAAACTTAAAGGGTCTGATGATCAAATACATGTTCCTGAGACGAGGGTTCAAACTGCCACTGCATCCATGAGGTGGGGTAGGGGCTTATGTGCCAAATGGTGGCTCTGGAATGGGTCTCTAGGTTGCGCTGAGGAGCACAGCTGGGCAGCTTTGGCTCTGGGCTCTTTGCCTTGCCCTGTCCAGTGTGGTGGAGGTGAGTGGCTGGTTAAAGGTGTTGCATGTAGCTCATGTGGCTCGCTCACAGGAAGAAGGCCTCTAGAGCAGTTCTCTCAGACCCACCCACCTCACAGAGGGTGTCTGTTGTGTGGCGAGGAAGGGAAGGCGATTCTAAGCTGCTCTGAGAGTCCTAGTGAAAGGTGGGGTATAAATCCAACTCTTCTTCCTGTTGCCTTGCTGCTTGCCTCTGTTCCTAATGGGCTGGCTTGGCTCCTTGCAGTTTCTGTTGACCAGCGCAACTGGAGCAGGAAGCAGTGGCCTGTCTCAGTCCTTCATTCGTATCAGCACACCACGTATTAGGAAGGGCGATGGAGTCTCCTTGTACTAACCATTATGGGGCATGCAGCTAGTCTCGGCTACTCTGGGCTCCCTCCTTTCTGTGGTATTTTGGATCCAGCTGAAAACTCTGTGTCAGTCTGTTCATTGTCTGCACAAAGGTAGCTGGAAGGCCATCAGGCTGTTATAGAAGCTCCAACTGTGGATTGCACTGACCCAGGTTTGAGCTTTGAAACGGGCACTGGGCGAGCCTGAACTTCAGAGGGGTGTGTCTGCTTTTATGTCCTGTCCTTCCAAGTTCCTTCCTGGCCCCTGGAGGTGGGGCATCCTTCTAAGAGTGGTTTTCCAAAAATGGAAAAGCAGCACCTGTTTGCAAAATACTGCTGGTAGCACTTGTGTAGCAGATCCATAGAGCACGGCAGAACAAATGTCAGTTGCCACACATCCATTGTTACCAAGATTCCAGGTTATGAAATCAGTCTGAAACGTTCTCCAAACAATTAATTGGGGTCTCATCACATATCCGTATGAAAACATTTCATATATATGTAACCCTTGGAGGCAATTTTATTATCAAAACTTAGGTGTCGAACTGCTGGCAAAAGGTTAAATCCCAGTGGGGAGATCGTTGGGGCAAAATGAGGTCATACTCAGAGATGGAAACCTCATCATCTGCGTGGGGATGTGAGATGACTGTTAGTTGGGTCAGAACTAACTGAGCTGTACCCTTGAGGTCCTCCCACATGCCAGGCGCATGCTCAACTTCTGAGCCACGATCCCTCCTCTGTGTTGCTTGGGGCTTGGGTGGGAATGTCCCCACCACGCATCATCCCAGGATACTTGCAGGGATGTGGGGTTGACCCTTGCTGGTGGGGTTTGCTTGTGGCTTGTGCGTTCAGTCATGCAGAGTGTTCACATGCTCTCCTGCTCACCCAGGGCACAATGTGTGGCCAGGGTTGCGCCCCAAGGGGTCAGATGCTTTTTGGTGGGGAGCCCTGGGCTCCTGAGAGAGCCGGCTGCCTTTGGCTTGGGGTGGGTGGATTGGAAAGGGCCTGCTGCTTGCTTGGCATGGTGTGGCGGCCACCTCTTGCGCGACCTGCTGTGACAGGGGGAAAGCCTCATAGAAATAACTTGTTTCTGCCCTGCTGAGCTGGCGAAGTGAAACTTCCGGTTTTGTTTTCTTGTGTTTTTCCACCTACATCTCTCTTGGCGCTCGTCAGCCTCATGAGGGATCTTAGTTGTGCAGCGATGAAGCTTGTGTGGAGATTCTAGCAGCTAGTCCTAATTTCTGTGGTTGTTTCTTGTTTTGGCTGAGAACATTTGATGTGGTTGGTGGGAAGGCTCGGAACAGTCTGTGCCCTCCTTCCCTGGCCATCTGATGCCAGGCACAGACAGTGGCATGTTGGATGCCAAGTCTCTTGCCTGGTCCCGTGTGACCTGGACTTTGAGGATTTCGTTCTTTTGGCAGGACTGCTAAGCCAAAACACCGTATTGATCCATTTTGATGACGCGGACCCTTGAGAATTACAAAAATCCCACCCACCCCTTTTCGAGTGGCTCAGTGGATGGAAGGAAGGACTGCTGGCAGCTCTCCACGTGTACCTTTGCTTCCTTCTTAAGTGGTGCTAGTTTATTTTGTGTTGCTGCTTTTGTCATTTTGGAAGAGTCCAGGTTTTGTATTGCAGCCGGGGAAACCGATAACCCGAAGTTTAGCGTCCAACTGCAGCTGGAATAACCTGATCCTCTTCAAGTGCGACCAGGACATCAGTAGCAGTGTTATTCGGTCATTTTCTTGCCTTCTTGCCAAGGTGTGTGTGAGTGACATTCAGAAGGGAAAGTAGAACAGTGCCAAGATGGTGGAGGAGGTCCTCCATTATTGAGGGAACTTATTGAGTGACATGTTTATTTCACACCATCTCTGGTGCAGAAGGTGCATCACAAACACACCCTGGAGAATAGTCAGGCATGCTGTTGAACTGTGCAGAGGTTTCCCACCCTCTGTTGCATTCCAGTTGAGCATTGGGTTAGCAGAAGGGGTAGTGGACAGCTGCATCCATGTTTGAGGCTGTCCAAAAGAGCCGTTTCCTATGTCTCCTGCAATAGAGTTATGCATATGTTTGGTAAGACATCTGTATAGAGTGAGTATTTGCATAGCAACAATTCAGGATTTCCCCTAATGAGCAGAGGCAGATTCCTAGGGAGAGACTTGGCACTGGGTCCATGGCTGCTGCCTTCCTTCTCTTCTTGCCCTGGTTCTCCAACTGTGAGCTTTCTCTGATTTTACTTGGACCAAATTTTAAATGCCAGGCCTTGCCCATTGTCACTCTTCAGGTTTTTTCTTTGGTATTCACCAAGCACAACTTTGCTATTGTTCCAGAAGATTTTCAGACCATCCTGGTCTTTGGCGGAGAAGGCGATTGCATTGGCTGTTCAGCGTTTCTCAGGTGATGTGTGTGCAGCTTTCCCAAGTGGTCACTCCCTTTGTGCTGTGCTGAAGATCTATGTATTTATATGTTGTTGTTGTTTAAATGAATACTTTAAACTTAGTTGGTGTTAGTTGATGTGAGATTCTTGCGCTGGGGAGGGCGAAAATAACAGAATTGCTGTGGCAAGCGGGTTTCAAAAAGTAGAGCAGATTTAGAGGTGTGTCCCACTTGAGAGCCACTGCCTCGTATACTGGAAATGTTGCTCCTTTTGCATTCTGCTAGAGGGAGAATGCTGTGAAATTTGAAAAGATGCCACATTCCTACAGACAGTTGTGCCAGTCCATTAGAAACTAGTCGTCTTCTGCTTGTTTTGTACTGGCCGTGCGTTTTGGTACCAGCTTCAAAGCCGTGGGCTGGTGAACTTGGGGGTTTAACTTGTTCCCCTGAAAGGCTTCCGGAGTAGTTTCTGCAGCTGCGGCAGGCTGAGCGGGGAGACCCTAATTCCAGTTGTCTCTGTTTCGGTTGCAGCGTGAATGCTTTTCAGCAAGCCCTCACTTTTGGCATTCATTCTTCCTCCCCATGAAAATACTACTGGGGTAACATTACTGGCCCACCCTGCATAGAGTGGTTTGTAAGGACTCGTGCACCTGTTGAACCCACCACAAAGAAGGACTCCTGTATGCGCCTATGTTCCCGCCTATGTTTATTTCTCAAACTGTGAAACCGTACCAGGTGGATTGAGTGGATGTAACACTGAATGGGTCTGTCATGACAAGCAACTCAACTTTCAGAGTGGGAGAAAGCTTATGATAGATCTCCTGCTCCCTCTTTTTTTGGGGGGGGGGGGTCGGAATCCAAGGCAGCCAGCCATGATGGAACAGTAAAGAAAACCCTTAAACCTGCCCTGAGCATTTCCCAGCGGTGACGATCCGTGTCCTCAGGTTAGAAAGGGTTTGCCTTCTTTCTGAACATGTGTAGCGTTTGTTGGGTTTGGCCAAGCCTCGGAAAGTATGAGTTCCACAAGATAGCAGCTGCCCGTTAAGAAAGCCCATTGTCTGCCTCCTCCATGTGGTGGAGTGTTGTGATTGTCCAAGATAGCGTCTTGGCCCTGGGCTGGACTGAGGCGACTCCCTGTGCAGTCACGTGCCATTTCATCTTTCTGGGTCTGTGGTGCAGGTTCCCACTCTTCCTCATTTGGAGAACAATGTGTATAGTGCCAGCAAAGGGAAGAAGGATTTAAATGGTAGCTGGTATCTTCTAGTGCCAACCCTGGGCCAGGCACAGAATGGCTCAGGAGACCGATCCGCCCCCCCTCCTGTGTTTAGGGGGCTTTAGAAGGAAATGAGAAACTTTTTAGAATCTGATTGGCTGCTTTGAAGAGTGCAGAAACAGGGCAGTGAGGAATCTCAATCCAGTCTGCAGTTCTCTGCGAAGGCTCAGTCAGGCCAAGCTCAGTTGTCCTGGTTGAGTCACCGGTGTACCTTTGCTGAACCCTGCTGCAAGGCTTGCGATGGTCTCTCGTGCCCTGCAGCCCCCTTCTGTGAGACAGTGGTAGCCTCCATGGGTGGGGCTTGGGCTTCCGGGCC